AGGAATTTTCGATGTTCTTCGTCGAAAAACTCCTTCACAACGGTGCGAGCAGAACGCGGGTTAGTCTTAATCTCCTCTAATCCATACCTGTACAGAATTCGCGTCGAATGCCTGAAAAAATAGTGGACGTGGTGCAAAACGGAATAAGCCGATCCTGCTAACCTTGTTAGCTGATTACACCACAGAATGCATAGGTGGTCCGCAGCCGTGTCCACTCCTCGAATAGACCATGAAGGGCGATGAATCACGTGGCTCTGGAAGATTTAAGCGTTCAAGATCTAACCATGAGATTGCAGGGTCGGTAAAATAAGACGGTCAAAACAACCCTAAATCCGGTCAAAATTAAAATAAGCAACCGAATGCACCTATAATCCATCCGTGCAGAAACCGTCAAAAAAGGTATAAAAATTGCGTAGAAAACACCTCAAAAGAATTGAAAAAAGGTCATAAAAACGGGAAGGAAAGAGAAAGCATGCCAGCACGCATAAAGCGGACAGGAGGTTGAACGCTAAAATACACGAGAGATCACATATTTTTACAAAAGAACTGCATCGTTATCAAGAAGTATTTCGAAGTATAAAAAACCATGTGAAGAAAAACGAAGTGAAACCCATTACAGCGCTCAGACAAGTCAGCGTTCATGCTCTCGCTTTGATGGTATAGGAGAGCAAGAAAAGTCACGGACAAGTATTAGGCATTCGTTGACGTAGCCAACTTTCCATTGATTCCCTTAATCTCGGCTTCTCTCCTTCCATTGATTGATACGTGTGAAACCCTCTTCGCCGATTTGCCGATTCTCCGACTCCCAAAAAATTAAGTACAAAAGTTGACTGTTTAAAACGGTACCAAGGAAGTAGGATCCAGCATATGCCTTAGAAACCACGTTGTACCCGCAATCAACAACTGGTTTAGGTACGTAGGTGAGTGAGAAAAAACTTAAACTGCAGACACGTAAACTGTTTAGTTATTCTACATACAAGCAACTCGCCTCGCACAATTTTACAAAAGGCTGGGTTATAAGCAACACTGTAACAGTTTCTGAAGATTCCCTTGAACCTGAGCATTGTCACTCAAAAGTCGAAACGTTGGCACTATAGAAATTTCACCATGAAAACCTGTTTAGCAAAGAAGCACCGACTACGTATCCTAAGTTTCGTCTTCTCTTCGTCGATTGCACAAAGGTGAACAGGGATTATGAAGAAAAAAACACAACAAAAGTGTCCGGAATACTCACTCCAGGAAACGCTGCCAAATGATCGGGCACTTGAAAATCCTTCGAACCGCCACTATACGAAACCAATCCAACTTTGCGTAACTCATCTCGTCGAGTAAGCCATGACTGCTCCATTGACTCGTAAAAAGTTACCATGGCTTCGTCCATTACGATAGCTTAACATATGCATTTTACAAAAACGCACCGAAATCGCACCAAAAATAAAAAGAAACTTGGACAAAGAAAGAAGTCAAGTGTGAAACTTACGTGAGGCAGTGAGTGGTGCAGCTAACGTTATTATGAGTCCCAAATTAGAAACATCAAAACCGGGAACAGCTGGTAACGCATGGATAACAGTTCCACCAAATGAATGACCAATCAGAACTATCTGTAAAAACTGACTGCGTTGCTGAGGCAAAAATAGAACAGAATAGCAACAGTAAGCACCTTACGGGAATACATCTTGGCAATTGTAGCCAGTGCTTTTATGAGAAAGTCTCGTTGACGACTCACAACTGCACCACCGAGAAACGACAGCTCCTGAAGAGATCATGGCTGAGCTACTCAGAAAAATTCTGGTAAAAAGAATACCTCGTTGAAATCTAGCGCATAAAAATGCATTCGGAACGGTGCTGATGTCATTTCTGTCTTGTTCATCATAATCGAAGCAACAGAGCGCACCTTAAAGTTACGAAATAAATCAACACAAGTCGTCTTAATAAAATCGTGAGGAATGAAGCTTGCGTAATTATGAAGGAAAAATGGAAGTGACTACTGACTGAACGACTCATTGTTAGAAGTGCCTGCCCACAAAGCTCACGAGGGTAAAGACCAAAAATACGTAACCAAAGCTACCATGGAACTTCGGCTAGGTGATGATTAGATGATATACACGAACTACTACTATGAAAGAAGAGACTGTTTCACAAGTATGCTGGGCTGTGAAACATTCGCAAGGCGAACTGCGGCCAAAAACAGCAGTTAACAAACAAAAACAAGTCAAAGAAGAGACCATTTAGCGAATAATATATTTATTTCACTCAGCTTTACTGGAAATTATAAGGAAGCTTTTGGTACTGAACTAAGGAATAGCGAACTTTAAAAATGAACGAGAAGCTTCTAAAGAAATACTCGCACCTGCTTTGCTGATCCACCACTGCCTGGAACGAAAAGCACTGGAATATCACTTGATGAAATGGCCCTGCAAAATGTTGTTCAAATAAATGTTTGGTCTAAGGGATGCAGTTTTTAGTGCATAACTGACATCGACTTCTCGATTAGCATGCCTTCCATATAACGATATAAACCATAACTCCTAACATCATTCCCATCAACGCTAAAAGGCTGAAATAATTATGGGTTACAAAAGTGACTTATGAAGAAGTACGACAATAATAAGAATAACAGCAGTATTGCGTACTGCATTTTGTTAGTTGTCGTGTTTTTTCCTTTGAAGCTGGCCGTTTGCATGTTACTATGAGGATGCTATTTCAGGCCGAGTTCACAGCTCGCGACTTCAGCGATTGTACGATCACGAGATCGCGCGATTATGCGGTCGCTCGGTCGATAAATATCCACTGCATGTTCAAATTGCAAAGTGGTTGCGGAGTATGACCACGGCATTGGGCTCAAATTTTCGTTCGGATGGAAGAATCAGAATAAAAAAGGAACGAAGCAGGGAACCAGGAAGTACGACACTGGATTAGAACATCATAAGAGGCCGAGTACATGACTCGTAAAGGCCGAATCATACTTTGGGATCGCACGAACGCATGGTCGGTACGTGGGTACTCCGCACTCAAATTGCAAACCGAACGGCGAAAGCATGAACCGACCCCAACCCAGCATTATTGTGATAGGACCTTGTTATCTACCACTAAACTGATGTATCGCCACATGTAGGTCATATGACAAGCGTTGTCCTTGTGAAGATTGACATGAACCATGAATAACGTTCCAGCCAGTGCTACAGCAACGACCACAGAAGGTAGGTATACCATGATAGATTCTAGCGGATTCTAATGAAGAAGCAGAATATGCACTAACACAACAGGTCCCTTCAAAACATCTGGCAGCCTGAAAGATAACTAACATAAGTTATCGATAAGTTACCAGTACCCTAATCACCTCAATGTTCGCATAGTGAATAGCTGAGTTAATCCGTGAAATTTCTCCCGACTCTTGGCGAAATTTTCGAAAGACAAATATAACACAGGGGAGGGGCATCATGATGCAGTTTTTTTTTTTCAGAAAGCTAGAGTAGCTCCAAGCCAGGTGGAGTGTAGCCAGTCTACGAGGGTGGGGGTGAGGGCAGTCACTTGACATGCGTGAAAAGCTGGAATGTTCGAGTTCACCGAGAAACTGCATCATGATGCCCCCTAAGTATAGTGGACCCGCAATTTTAACCACTTAAAAAAAAAAAACTAATGCGCTAGAGATTACAGGAGAACCCTCAATGTAATTTTCGACAAAATCTTCGAGTTCACGCTAGTGCGCCGAGAAACTGCATCATGATGCCCCCCCCCTCCCTCTAACTAGAATTGACCCCAAAATTAGCTCAGTAGGTGAACTCACGAGCGTTGAGACCCATAGCTTCGATTGTTGTCCACAATCGCAAACTATACAACAACGCTCCAAATGACAGAATTAGCCCTAATTTTAGCGAGTGTAGACTAAGCCGCAGAGTGCATGACGTCATCAAATTTTCGTCACTGTGATTCTTTCAAAATTTTGTTCAGTTTGATCAACCGGCTCGGTTTTCTCCTTTTAGCGAATGACGTCTAACTGTATGAATTGCTAATGTTGATAGGAATCGCTAATGTATATAGGAATCGCCTCACTTATCTTTCGTAATTACAGTTTGCTTAAAGACTTCTGTTGACACTCGTTGACGAGCTAGATTGTTCCTTATGCTTCGTCTAATATCTGTTTAACACCAAAAACACCTTAACACGTTGACGACATCGCATGTTTTGGCATTTTGCACCTCGTGGGACAGGAGCGATTTTGCGACCGCGCCGTCCTCACCTTACTTCCGCTTATTTTTTGTTAAAAATGCACAATAACTAGAATTTCATAGGACTATTTCGGCAAGGATGAACGTATAAAGGTTAACTATATAAGTAGCAGTAGGTTTTTGTTTAGAAGAGTGCATAATGACCACGAAGAAGTAAAAAAACACGCTTTCGCTGCGAATGAAATTAAAAGCATTTGTATCTAAGTATTTCCATCACATGCAAATATATTGAAACTCACAGAGTTTTGTATTAACTAATTCTACAATCTTTCATATAAATGTTAACGACAGTGAAAGGAATACCAGGAAAGAATTGAAATGAAAGTTTTGTGCGTTCGGAAAATTTTTGCTAAATCATAGGATACTTGACCACTCTGGCTGCCAGGCGGTTTATAGTTATGCTAATGTATTATCTATAGAATGAATACAAGAAACCCGAGAAGAAGGAGCGCAAGCACGATAAAAATGAATAACACAGACTTGACGCGCTTGCGCGTCAGAATGTCCGATGCGGTGCGAAATTCTTGACGCGGGGGGGGGGAGGGGGGGGGCGCCGCGCGCATGCCAACTTGTCGTCAACAGTGTTAACAATCAATTGATCAACAATGCTGCTGAATTGTACTGGGTGCAAGTGTGGCTCGGGGGCACTGTAAAAAGGCTGCTCATGCTCTTAGGGTACATGCAAAGCATTCAAAAACCGCTGATAGGTGAAACTAGGAAGCCCAGGATCGGAAATAAACACCAGATAGAGCAGTGTTTGCTCACATCCTCTCCCAGAATCCTTTCCCCTCTCTCAGGCTTAGTTCCGAGTTGTATTAGGGTCCACTCACTTCAATGTCCCCCCTTAGGACATGAGCGCCAAGGCCTCTAGGACTGAGCCTGGGCAACAGGGACGAACTCGGGAGAATCGAAAATTGGAGTGGGGGTCTCTCATCTTTTCAAAAGCTTGGTTTTGAAACTGAGCATTTCCATAAACTTGACGCGATGTTACTAGTGCCCCCTACCCCTGTGCACATTGCGCCTTGTACTAGTTCCGATACTATTCACTGTTACGATTTAGAACATATTTTTTGACAGTCTGGGATCGTTGTAGAAGGATGCCCTGATTTTTGCTCGCTTTGATGATGAATGCTTCAGATTCTTTATTAGCACCGCTATGCGATCTTCTCTTCGGTGCCTTGGGGAGAATATTCGACGGAGCATAGTTCATTCAAATAATGGTCAATCTATAGGAAAAACAGTCTACCTGACTCATGTAAAGTGGGTTACTGGAAAGCGTGAGTCCATTTTCCGCTTTCTTCTATTTTTATGACAACCCACTTCAAATACACCACAAGCATATTCATCTCCCTTTAGTTTTTACAGCTCATTATGGATATTGTTTACCATTCAAAGCGAATTTTGAGCAATTCTGACTCAGCAGACCGCATTGAGTTGAGCGGTTGAGCTGTGAGGCACCGCGCATAAGGGCGCATTCATAGTCGGTCGTCTGTCGCACAGCAGTAGATGCCTATGGATCGTCAGGCGTGTCCGAGGACTGGGCGATCGATACGCTCCCAATGCTGTGCGATCGCTACGATCGGATGGCCGACTGTGAACGCACCCTAACTCAAGCTTCGGGAGCTTTCGACGTTTCTGCAACTTTCCTCGCTGATAAGAATACATTCGTTTAAATGGCAGGTAGAGTGCATGAGAATGTTCTACGATCGCGTCTTTATTACGTGTGCTGATTTTCCACGCGTGCGTTACGATTCGGCGACTCTGCGACACTTCTGGTCAATTACGCATGCGTCCCGCCGCTCAGAGGGGAATCGCGAATCGTTGCATACGCCAAACCTTCAAGTGTGTTGGTATGAACGCACACATCAGCCAAAATCTGTATTGGCATTACTACAACGTGCTAATGATTAATAATTTGGTTATGCTGATATGTACCATTGTAAAGAGTTACGCTATCTTTTTATGGCTGACACGAGCCACCTCTGACTCAATTCGCTCAATTTGATGCGTCTTAGCCAACCATTCTTTCTTGCCTTTTTCACACGGATCTCACTGCTTTCTCAGGGAAGCAGCGATGCAGACGTAAATAAATACGCGGTAACCGCTCTGTCATAAATTCTGGCAAATGGGAATGTTGAGCTGGTCTTTTATGATGTGCCGGAGTTGAAGAGGCAGAATTGATGAAAACTTTGCAAAGAAAAACTGCAAGGTAATCCCGAGAGATGCTGGAAGGCTTGGGGAAGTTGGTTATGGGTGTTTGCTCTATGGCGGTCTTGTTTAGGAGGGGTCAAGTTCAAAAACATACTCAAAAGAGCAAGAGTAAGAAAGTTCAATCTTTCCATTTATAAGGCTTCATTTGGAAGATAACGACTGTATAATTGCCGCCGCTAGCGTTTTGTTTTCAGATCAACTACAGGATTACTTTAGTCGATATGGACATGTCCGCAGTGTGAATATGTTCTTTGTGAGTAATGCAAACCATTCCTATTACTTTCTTGTTTTCGGTTGATCTAAAACTGCATCATTATACTGACTTTGATATTCTTAAAAACGAAAAAATGTGAATATTCAGGACGCGGAAACGGGTTTGCATCGCGGTTTTGCCTCTGTTACATTCGAACATCCTGAAAGTGCTACGAAGGCAATGCAACAACGGCCACATGTTATAGACGGCGACAGGGTACTTATTTAGTTTTACATTATCATTATCAGTCCGGAGAATCTGGAAAGATCAAAGGACGTCAAACGCGGACTATCTGCACGGTTTTTGCTCTGCGACGGATTCTTACCAGGATTCTTTTTGCGAAAATATACAAGCCTTTATTTGTTGTTGTTAAATAAAGTACGCACATTTTAGATCGATTTGGAGCCATACATTCCAATGTTGTCGAAGAAGAAGGACGTAATGTTGTAGGAGATAAATCGATGTTATAAATAAAGGTCATCGAACTGGACTGGGATTTTATCATAGTTACTCGTATTAATATCGTCTTGTCTACTGACAGTAAATACCTCCTTAATCGATTGATTTCATCACATATGTTCAAGTGGCACGAAGTCTGCTTCGTCACTGTATAGGTATTAATTGTGTATTCTAATGCAATGAAATAAATCTCAATCGTTCGTGCGAGTAAAATGGTAAAATGCAGTTTCTTTTGTTCGCAGTTTCAAACATGACGGAATGACAGCATTGACTTCGAACGAGACACACTCAAGGCAAGGGATCAATCTGCGGCCAGTCGCTAGCAAATCGCGCGCTAGCAGTTGCAGTTGATCGCAAAGTGTGGCTTTTGTTCAGGGCCGATGCCAGACTTTACGAGTCCAGCGATTTTCGCTAGCGAAGCTGGATACGAGCGTTGCACCAGCGAATCGAGCTGTGTACCAGCGGATCGAACTATGTGCCAGCAACTCAACACTTGCAGAAATGACTCGGTGGAAATGGTGGGAACGCTTAAGGAGTCCGCACTTTCAAACAGCTGACGAGTCTGTACATCGTTGGAACGCTGACACTTAGATTCACGCTGCTACACACTCGATTCGCTGTGTACAGCTCGTCGATTGATTCGATAGGCTCATCAAGCCAGCTAAGGCGAGTGCGTGCGAGCTTGCCATTAGTCGAAGAAACTGCACCAACTATTAAATACTTTAAGAATACGAAGAGGACGGGATATTCAACCCAGTCGTTCTGCTTCAACAGCGTTTTTTTCTATTAAGGATTTTCAACCTCAAAACGCAACTTCTTTGAAGCATGATGAAAGATGCTTCTGTGCCTTCTGATGAGGTTACTCATAAATGGACAAGGTTATTCAAATTTATCTATCTACATAAATATCATACATCTAGAACCCGTGTGTGTTCCATATAGGTAACGTATAAGTTTCGTAAGCAAATTTTTCAAAGTGCGTTTGGTCGTTGTAAACGCCCGATATAGTCCAATTCCAATTGAAATTCGCCGTCTATGCGATCCATCAACACGATTCCAAGAGAGCTGTAATCTCATTTCGTTGTTTAGGTAGATGCCAGAAGTGTGGATCGAGCCATTCGCTGGCGTTTGCGGTTGCGTTGCGGCCAGCGAATCGCTCGTTTGGCTGGTACCGCAACGCTACCGCGGACGCTAAGACCGACGTCATAGTCGGCGACGGACCAAGCGATGGAGCGATCGCGATCGCTCCATCGCTTGTCCGTCGCTTGCCAATCGCTCTCGGTCGAGCGATTGGCAAGCGATTGCGCAATCGCTTGCAAAGTGCACAAGCGACGGGCAATGGCTCTGCTCGATCGATACCGCAGCCGACTGCATTGACTGGGGGCGGGGCCAATCGCCCGTCGCTTGTGCACATTGCGCAATCGCTTGCCAATCGCTCGACCGAGAGCGATTGGCAAGCGACGGACAAGCGATGGAGCGATCGCGATCGTCATATAACTTCGTATAATGACTAATAGACTCGCGTTCTAACGAAAAGCATGACGTCGCCTGTGCTTTCCTGCACATTTAGATTATAAAAAAACACATTCTAACAAATGTTTGGGGGAGTTAGAGCTCAAAATTGGAAGCAGGTGTGGTAGTTGCTTGGCAAGTATAATAACATCTGAAAAAAAGCAAGCGAAAACGCTAATGATCCTTATATTCGCGTAGCGCACTTAACATACGGGATGAGGGAGCCCCGCCAGTTGAGAATTGGAAAAAAAGCGGAGGAGCAATAAGGAAGACGGTCTTCTCCATTCGAACGATCATTGCGCAACGTGCTCTTGAAAGTTCCTAGCTTTTTCTTTTCTATCCCCAGCATCTTACTCAACCAACTACCACATCTATTTTCATACGAGCTCAAAGACACTCCACAGCAATAATAGGGTGCGTCTTAATGATCGATCACTTGTGCTCTATAGGGCGCATGCACAGTCGGTCGTCCGATCGTAACGGTCGCACATCATTAGATACATCGTCGAACACTCATAGTCAGGCAAGTCTGACGATCGATACGCATCCAATGCTGTGCGAACGCTACGAACGTTAGAACTGGACGACCAACTGTGCATGCTCGGCGAGAAGAATGAATTTAAAACTAGGATGGACAAGATCTCTTACCTGACTTCTTCTAGGAAAACCCTATTTTGCTTGTCTTGAATACGTCCCGCCACAGTAAGAAAGAATTTTGAGAACGGAATTTTTTCATACTGCCAGTAGGGACCACCACGAGTATGTAGAGGATAAGAGTACGAGTCTCCCCAGGTCATATCGATTGTTTGAGGTGCGTGCAGCATAATCTTGTAACTTCGTCCATCACCTCGGCACTGAAATTGGTATTCAGTCCAATGGCAACTACTACAATAAAAAATATTTGCTATGGAACGAAATATGAGTTGTAAGGCCTATCAGGAACTGACAGAGCAATATTTTTGGTCTAAAATTTAAGTGAGCACGATGGCATTTTCAGCGCTAATTTACTTGACACAACGGTGTGAATTGGAATCAAAGTAAAAGAATCAACTACGGACCAAAAAGTTTCTGTGTGTCTTACGCTGAGTGTTGGATGCCACTGTTGCGTTTATACAGTCCCAGTGCGATCATATAATGGAGTCGAACTCACCTTTATAAGAAGATGACTAAAGTTTCTCCACTTCCAAAGAAATTTTTTCCTATTGAGAAATTTACGATCCTCCAACTTTATGCTTGCCCAACCAGCTCGCTCGACTCGCCCGTCTTTCACAATTTCTGTGCAAATCTTGCCTCTGAATAAAAACGGTGCATGATTTTTACAACAGGAAGAATAAATGGAAACTGTGTACTTGAAAAGTGCGGTATTGTTGTCAGTAGGGACGAACTGAACTGTTGAGTATCCTTCCTTCCAATCAGAATCGCATCCCGTATTCCACTTCGACAATGCCTAAATTTGAAGGAAATCTGGCATATTGTGCTCGGGAAGAATATAACACCACTGAACTAACTTCTGGGGTGTCAAATCTCCACTCGACTCGTGCTTCATTGTGCCGCACACCAACCATGTCTTCGACTAGTTCCTTCTTTTCGAATGTAATTTCAGTCGAAGACAGCTCTTCTTTGAGCAGCTATAATTCCACTATTCTTCGAAGTAGACAGAGGATTGGTCGAAGAAAGAACTTTGAGTACATCATATCATGCATAGAAAAAAGTGTATGCAAACTAAACAAAAAGCTCAGAAGTGAACTACCTCAGCCTGCTTTTTCAGTAATCGTGGAGCGTCCTTTAAAATTTCTTCAACTGGAATGTCCGTATCATATAGATCATCTGGTATACCTTTCTCATTTGGGAAGTTGATGTTTATCGGAACGTCTCTAGGACCAAAAAGTCGCCGCTTTTTCTTCTCCCCTACCTTCGACTCGACATCAGAGACCTAAATGATGGACTCTCAATAAAAGAACTTCAAGCCGATGCTTGCTGAGACAGAACATCGGAATATAAGTTATTCATTAAATGCAAGTCCTTGAAATTTCCGCCAAGCGAACGAAATTAATTCTGCTCCGCGCCTGCGGCCGAGTTTGATAATTCCCCCTTTATGGTTAGCGATCCTGCGATATTTCACAAAGAAGATTCGTATCAAACATACGACTTGTGATCGTGCGATGGCATGATCAATACGTACCTACTCCATGTTCGAACTGCCAACGAGTGCAAGACAGTCACTGAGTATGACTGCAGCCTACCATGACTATGCCTATCTTTTAAGCTGCGAAACACTAGCCATCTTATCCACTGGCCTGTGAACGCTATGAATATAAGACATAACAGGGGCTCATTTGCCCGCGCGGTACATTAAGACTACAACACCCGACTACGTTATTCTGCTGGGCTCATCTGTTTTGAACACCTTCGAACTAGATACGAAACGGCATGCCCAACAAAATCGAATAAGCGTAACCGTTTAGTAAGGGTATCTTTTTCAGTCACGCCTTCAATTTTTGAAAGGAACGTTAGCAAAATATTCAAAAGAAATAGATGCACAAAAACAACATGATCGAATCATACTTCGCAGTCCGAATAAGGAACAGATACTCGATCATGTGATCGCATGGAATTTCACGATCGTATATTTTTATGTAAATATCTCTTCCGCATTCGAACTGCAGAGTAAGATTCAGATGCCAGCACTGGTTGATCGTTCTTTTTTGGATGCGCCAGGATATATCATAACCCTCCGAGTTTTAGACATGGAGTGGAACACTTTAGCCTTCCAACATATATGGTATGCTAATGATGAAGTAGGCTGCTGCAGGACTCAGTTCTTGTTTTTTATCCTCCCAGTTTCCAAAACAAAGGTGTTACCAGTTGACGAATAGGACCCGAGGTTTGTCTCGATGTGCGGTGGTAAGTTGCTCTCTTGATGCTCTACCTTGGCGCTTAAACTACTGAAGTACTTTGATACATTTTCAATACCGAAGTTTGACACTGAATGAGAATGCAATGAGTTCTCTACATATCTATTCAATTCAACAAGAAATCTCAACAAAGAAAAAGGAGACCAAGAAATATCACTGTGAAGAAAATGAAAAGAGCAACAACTACCTTCAAATCTGACCTGGTCCCCATGACAGCGCTTTGCTTTGACGTTGAAGCTTTACATTGATGAGACCGGGTAGCAGATAAAAGTCTAGCAGACTGATTGAATAATTCTAACGGGTGAATCCTCTGATGGCAACGAATTAAAAGCATTCTGAAATGAAAAATTTAAGAATTAGTCATTATTGTGACTTCTTTAACTTGTTGAGAAGCGATACAATGGACCCCAACACAAGCTAAAATGAAGAAACCACAAAAATTGCCCAGATTTTAAAGAGTTTCTGCATAAATACGTGTGGATCTACTTGCTATCGATCTTACGAGGAATTGCACACATTCTGCGTAGTACGGTGGAGCGTACACGGGTCGCGTTTTTGGCGATTTGGCGGTTCCAATAGCATGAATGCATGGCTATAGATAAGAAGTGTCGCTCATAAGGCAGAGCAAATTAGTAGGTGTGCTCCTTGTAATTCCGGTAGGGTGGCTAAATCTTCGGGTCGTCGAGGGGCCTAGTGAGTGGCCCAATCTCCGAAACGGTGCAAATAAATTTCTTCCAGCGAAATATCTAAATCTCAAAAGATCTACCTGGACGTTGCCTTAAACAGTAGAGAGCTATTCTATTGGGAAATGTGGTACATACGATATTCTTGCGGAAGTTAGTTTCGCTCAAAATTGGTGGCTTACAGCGCCTTAATACGTTTCAAATTATGAAGAATGGAATTTATAGCAAAATTATGAAGCGATTCTTGGAGAGTGTGTTGAGGTTGAACATCGACAGAAATTCAGGGTTATTGGATCCGGGCGCGGATTGGCGCTCTCGAGACGAGGTCTGTGTCCCGCCCCTATGGGGGTCCATTTGTTGGCCCACTTTCATTACCGTAATTTACCGTATTAAAGGCAAGCGGCTAGCCAATGAGACCCAAGCAGGGGTGGACTGCAAACCTTGAAC